TCCTCATGTTTTGAGGGCGGATTTCATTGTTCTTAGTTTGCTTCTTATTTCAGTTTTGGACATGATGTATGGGCTAGGCCCAATCTCATTCTATTGTATTAGATGACTATTGAGACAAAGTGTTTTAGACTTCCGCTTTCTTTATAAAATGTTTGGACTTGAAATGTTGTCTTTACTTCGATTGTTCTATTTCTTTTGTTATGAATGCTAAGTGGCTTGTATGGGGACTCTCGGGGTCCTATACGCCATGTTACATCTAGGATGTACCCCTGGGTCGTGACATCAAGGTTTTCAACTCACCAAGATTCGAAGGACAGGTCCTACAATTCATAGGAATTCCTATGACCACCCATCCGTAGGGCCCTCTGCACAGTGGCAAGGAATGGTCTCCCAAGAATGATGGGAACCTCAAAATCAACCTCGCAGTCAAGAATCACAAAATCTGCCGGAAAGATGAATGACTCCACTTTCACTAGTACATCATGGAGCACACCAATGGGCCTCTTCACAGTTCTATCGGCCATGAGCAACCGAATCGCAGTCAGTTTTGGATCTCCTAGACCCAACTTCTTGTAAATAGACAATGTCATCAGATTAATGCTAGCACCAAGATCACGCAATGCCTTAGCATAATGCAACAACCCAATAGTACATGGAATAGTGAAGGCATCAGGATCCTCTTTTTTCTGTACAAGGGACCTTGTAGCAATATCATACAATGTTGTAATTTATCATCATCTTCGAAGATCACTGCCCTCTTCTTTGTCACCATGTCCTTCATAAATTTTGCATACCCATGCATTTGCTCCAAAGCTTCTATCAACGGAACATTGATTGAAAGTTGTTTCAACATGCTAATAAACTTGTGGTATTTTCCTTCTTCAGTCTTCTTCACTAACCTCAGTGGAAAGGGAGGTGGAGGTCTAGGAATAGGGACAACTTTCTGAGTTACCTCCGCTTTTTTCTCTATTGCATTCTCGGACTCCCCACTTACCTTGACCACATCATCATCTTTACTATTCTCAATTTCCACCCAAGACGGCATAAGTGGATCAATGGTTTGCTTACCACTCCCCCCCCCCCCCCTCCTCGAGTAGTGACTGCCATACAATGCCCATCATTCTTTGGATTCTGGATGATGTTGTTAGGAAGAGTGCCAGGTTGACGTGGATTTACTATAGTTGACAACTGAGTCATGTGTTGCTCAAGATGCTTGATTGATACTTCATGTGCATCAACTTTTTGACCAATACCAGACAAGTCATTTCTCATCTCCTTCACATTATCATTAGTTGCATCAAACCTCCGCATCATCTTCTACATCATATCCTCAATACGTGACATATTACTTCCAGCTTTCCTAGGACAAGATTCCCAAATTTGAGGGGGAACATAAGGTCCAACCCAATCATTTCTATTGCCATAGTTGCTTCGTTTGTAGTTGTTGTCGCGATTGAAGTTCCCATCCCGGACATATTGACCCTCTCGGTTGTAGTTGCCATAGTTCCTACCTTGGTTTCCTTGACCTTGGCGCCAATTATCCTGATTGGAACCTTGGCCTTTTGGTCGGAAACCCCCTGTCTGGTCATTCACCGCATAAGCATCCTCTTCAAAGTAATACTCATCTCTCGGTGGTGGAGTTCTAGTCAAATAGTTCACAACATTCACCTTCTCTGCTCCTCCAATTACATGCTTTAACACCAACCCTAGTTCAGTTCTCATCTGGGCCATTTCCTCACGAATCTCATTTGCGGGCTGGTTGTTTGTAGCTTGAACGACAAACGTGTTCCTCCCAGTATCTGAATTTCTAGTGCTCCAAGCTTTATTGTTTAGAGATATCTTCTCCATTTTCTGTGTAATTTGTGCAAAAGTGCATTCACCATATGAACCTCCTGCAATAGTATCCAGCACTGCCTTACCATTATCATCCTGTCCTCGGTAGAAGTACTCCTTCAGTGACTCATCATCAATACGGTGATTCGGGACACCTCTCATGAAGGCAGTGAACCTGTCCCAAGAACTACTCACAGACTCTCCAGGTAGTGCCATAAAGTTGTTGAGTTTGTCTTTTTTATTCAGCTTCTTGGACAATGGAAAAAATCTTGCTAAGAACGCTTCTGTCAACTGCTCTCATGTATAGATTGAGTTGTAAGGGAGTTCATTGAACCACACAACATCTTCTCTGGTCAATGATAGGGGAAACACTCGCAACCCAATGACGTTCATATCCCAATCAGGTTGACTGATGCAGCTTTTGCAGACATGGTTTAGTTTGGCTATGTGGGCATGTGGATCATCCGCTGGCAAACCTGCAAACAAGCCCCTCGTTGTAAGCATCTGCATCAAGCTACTGGTCACCACAAATGTATACCCCTAAGGTAGAGGTGGTAGGACAAGAGGTCCATCAAAATCGACAATATTAAGGTTGACCCTAAAATTGTTAGGTTGTCGTGGTCCTGGTGGGTCCTGTACCCTCAATGCACTCCCAATCTATTTTCAGCTGACACTTGATTATTCTCATCACCTACTCCCGGAGGTTGCAATCCAACTATTTCACCTAACTCTCCTCTGATAGGATTAATTGGAACTCCTTTATTATTCATTCTCCGCAAAGTTCTGTTCATTTTTGGATCGTAGGGAGTAAGTGGTTTGCCTTGGCTCCGTGTACTTGGCATGCACTAGAGTAAGACCCTGAGAGAGACAAAAACAAAAGAAAAAGTAAAATTAGGAAATATTTGACTAAAGTTCAATAATGTAGTTAAACTTAATCTAAAAGCCTTATTCCCTAGCAGTGGTGCCAAAATTTGACACGCTCAAATTACACCTCTTTTCAGAAGCATAAGCGATCGTTATCACGTAAAGAACCCAACTCGTAGGTTGGGGTCGATCCCACGAGGAATATGGTTTAGACTTAAGTTCAATAACACTTATATTCGTTTAGCCAATGTATTTTCGAGACAAATAAGTAAAAGGGGGGGGGGGAATTTGTGTAACAAATTTTGGAAATTATGAAAGTAATTAGTAAGCAAGATTTAAACTTTTGTTGTTATCAAATTGAGAAAGAAACTAGGGCGTATCTGTTCCCCATTAGCTCATAACTCCGTAATCCTAGTAATAGTAATCCATTCCTAGTGTATTACATGCAAAGCGATAAGTTATGTATCGCTAAATCCTTGGTCCGACATCTAGAGAATTTCACCCCGCAACTTGGTCCGGCTACGTATGTATAATTTACTAACCCTTACCATTACCTCATATTAGACGTCACATCGATATATGGCTTAGTTTTCATTCTCACACCAATCGACATCAATTCTATTAGATAGTATCATACTAAATCTATGTTGATAATTCTTTTCTTATTAACTACCTCCTTGGTCCGGCAAGTAGTAACAAGGCGAGTTCTAACGTTGCACACTGTTAAAAAGACTTCTAGATGAAAGAATTATCAATGCATGCAAAACACTATTCGGGAATTACTTAGTTACTATTCATACTTCGTTAATCGCTCATGGGTCCCACAACCCTAGTTGTGGATTTAGTTACCCATATTAGCAAGAAAACAATTCATAATGTTTTAAGAATAAATCATGAACTTACGTAGTAGAGTAGAATAATCCCAAAATTTCAACTGGAATTTCAAAGTAAAAATCACCGAAATATGCTTAGGAAATTAGGAATTGCTAAAATTGCAAGTTAATCCCCAAAGCCAAAAACTAGAATAAAAGTAATGAAGTCTAACCTCCAAAAATGAGGTTTACATACCCTATTTATAGAAAACAAGTCCTAAATTAAAAGGGAAACAAAATAAGGAAAGTTTGTTCAGGCACGCGTCTTCATTATACGAGACTGACTTACGGATCGTCAATGGATCTACAGTCCGTGAGTCCCTTCCGTCAGCCAGGACTTAGAAAATATTTCAGCTTCCAAAAATCAGCTTCTCTGAAGCAAACGACAGAACACCAGTACGGACCATAGATCGATCTACGGTTCGTCGATCCCTCTCCGTAGCTCCATACTTAGAATTCTCCAAAAATCAGGTACTGGAACCCTCGCAGTCACATTCTACGGTTCAACATTACGGTTCGTAGATTAATCTACGGACCGTCAATGGTCACCGTGGTTTCACACTTGGTCAGATTCCCTGATTCTCCTTTCATGCCTTGCCCTGCTGATCTACGATCACCATCTACGGAGCGTCAATGGACCTACGGTCCGTAGATGCCCTTTTCTGCATTTCTTCTAGCTGTCTCTTTACTTTCGCGCCCAAACATCTTTCCTGCAAAACATGATAAAAACACATAAAAACCAATACAAAAAGGTCCTAGACACACACAACTCTTAAGTGAAATGGATTAAAAATACCGTAAACTCACGGTATATCAAGTGATATTATAGTTCTTTTGAGCAACATTCTGGGGTTTGCTCGCATAATATATGAGATGAAAAATCTTCTCACACCTTTACCCTAATACCACGCCAAGCGCCACCCGACTCGCATCATACATAATTTAGAATGGTTGTTCCCAATCTGGTGAAATAATGATCAATGCAGAAATCAACTTCTCTTTTAACCCCGTCAAATGGTTTCAGACAAGAATCATTAAACTCAAACTTTGTCTCATTTTTAAGTAACTTGCATAATGGGTGCAAAATTTTGGAGAAATCTTTGATAAATCTCCGATTAAAACCAACATGTCCCAAAAAGCTTCTAACATCCTTCACAGAGATAGGTGGTGACAACTTTTCAATCACCTCGATCTTTGCTTTATCAACCTCGATACCTTTGTGAGAAATCCATTGATCCAGAACTATGCCCTCTTTCAGCATAAAGTGACACTTTTCCAAATTTAGCACAAGATTGCATTCTTCACAACGTTTTAGAATATCACCTAAGTACGCCAAGCAATCATCAAATCAGTAACCAACCATAGAAAATCATCCATAAATACCTCGATAATGTCTTCCACCATATCAAGAAAAATAGACATCATGCAACATTAATAAGTTGCAGGTGCATTACACAACCCAAATGACATCTTCTTGAAAGCAAACGTCCCATAAGGATAAGTGAAATTAGTCTTTTTTTGGTCTTCCGGTGCTATAGAGATCAGATTGTATCCAGAATACCCATCAAGAAAATAGTACCAACCAATTCCAGCAAGACGATCTAATATTTGGTCCATGAACAACATTGGGACATGATCGTTCTCTGTCCATGCATTCAACTTGCGATAATCCAGGCAGACTCTCCTACCAGTAATCGGCCTCATCGGGATAAGTTCATTCTTTGAATTAGGAACCACAATGATTCCTCCCTTATTCAGCATGCATTGAATCAAACATATCCAATTACTGTCAGCAATCGGATAAACTACTCCAGCATCTAACAACTTGATAATCTCCTTCTTCACAACTTCTTGCATTAGTTGATTCAATCTTCTCTGGCGCTCAATACTTGGTTTACTATCAGGCATGAGTTGGATCTTATGAGAACATATACCTAGTGGAATACCAATAATGTTAGCAATCGTCCATCCAATCACCCTTTTGAACTGCTTCAAGAATGACATCAAAGCTTCTACTTGCATGTCGTTCAAATCAGTAGCAATAATGATAGGCATATTATTATTTTTGCTCAAGAACACATACTACAAATGAGATGGTAAGCCTTTAGTTCCAACTTCAGAGGCTCATCAATAGATGGTTTTGCAGGCGGAGTTTCTCAAATTTTTAGATCTAAATCCAGCTTCTTTGGTGAGCGACGAGTATAATCTTCTTTCCCATCAAGTGCAACAACTAAATCAATGTACTACTTAATTTACTCTCCATCGAAATTCATGCTAATGACAACTAATCCTTCAACACCTAATCTTTCCTTAATTGAAACCTCTAGTTACTCCTCAGTAGTATAATTCACAATGGACACCTATTTAAGATCACTTTGATGCTTCATTGATTTGGAGATATTAAATGTCACCTCTTTATTGTTCAATCAGAATTTCATCTTCCCTCTCTCTATATCAACTCAAGCACACCCAGCAGAAAGGAATGGTCTTCCTAAAATGAGAGACACTTCAAAGTTAACCTCGCAGTCTAATATCACAAAATCCACTGAAAATATGAATGCCTCAACTTTAACTAGAACTTCTTATAGAACCTCAATTGGTTTCTTCACAGTACGATCAGCCATAAGTTGTTGTATTGCAGTCGTTTTAGGGGCTCTCAAGCCTAACTTTTTGAACACAAATATCGACATCACATTTATGCTTTCACCCAAGTCACATATGGACTTAGAAAAGTGTAACATTCCAATAGTACATGGAATAGTAAATTCTCTAGGATCCTTATTCTTTTGGACTAACAATCTAGTACTAATGACACTACAATGTTGCAACTTATCATCACCTTCAAAATTGACGGTCCTCTTTTTGGTCACTAGATTTTTCATAAACTTAACATAGCCAGACATATGTTCTAGTGCTTCAATCAAAGGAATATTTAACAATAATTGCTTCAACATGGATATGAACTTGTGATACTTTCCTTCTTCAGTTTTCTTGACCAATCTTTGTGGGAAAGGAGGTGGAGGTCTGGCATTGGAATGATCTTCTGAGTAACTTCTAATTCTTTCTCATCCTGATCTTTTGGTTGTTCCACTATTTCAACTTCATCCTCTTCTGGTTCCTTCACTCTTACCATCTCGGTCTGCATAGGAGGTTCAATAGTTTATATTCCACCCCGAGTAGTAACTACCATACAATGTACATAATTCTTTAGATTTTGGATAGTATTGCTAGGAAGTCTTCCTTGTTGTCATGGATTTACACTTGAAGATAGTTGACTCATTTGTTTCTTAATCTGTTTACTAGACACTGCATGTGAATCTACCTTTTGCCCAATGTTCGATAAAATGGTCCGCATCTCTTTCATATTTTCATCAGTCTAGTCAAACATTTTCATTATCTTAGCCATCATACCCTAAATGCAATTCAAACTTGATCCTCCGCCTCGATATCCTAGTGGACATATGGACCACTATTAGCGTTTATGTTAATGTACCCATTTCTGTTGCAGCTATGATCATAATTATAGTTCCCTTCACGATTGTAATTACTGAAGTTCCGACCTTGATTACCTTGACCTTGGTCCCAATTATCTTGATTGGATGCTTGGGCATTAGTCTGGAAACCCCTCATCTGCTCATTTACAAAATTTGCATCTTCTTTATATATGCACTCATCAACTGGCAGTGCTCTATTATGATAATTTACTGCATTAACTTTCTCAGTACTTCCACTCACGTGTTTCAATATCAAGCCAACCTCTGTTCTCAACTATGCCATCTATTCACGAATATCATCATTTGATTGATAATGTGTGGCTTGTATAGAAAAAATGCTCTTTGTGGCAGCTGAAGTACCAGTGCTGTATTTTTATTATTCTTGGAGATCTTTTCAGGTTTCTCCATAATCTCATGAAATGTGTTTACCCCGTAAGATCCTCCAACAGTAGTATCTAACATTGCTTTTCCATTGTCATCCTGCCCTCTATAAAAGTCTTCCTTTAGCAATTCATCATCAACACGGTGATTGGCACGTTTCTCATGAAACCTATAAATTTGTCACCAAGAATCACTAACTGTCTCCCCTGCTAGAGCAACAAAGTTATTGAGTTTATCCTTAAGCTTTAACTTCTTGAATACCAGGAAATACTTCTCTAAAAACACTTTGTACAACTCTGTCCATGTGGTAATTAAGTTATATGGGAGCTCAGATAGCCACACAGTAGCATAACCTGCCAATGATAATGGAAACACACGTAGCCCGATCACATCCATGTCTAAGTCAGGCCTTCCCAGACTACTCTTACATACATTGATGACTTTACTAAGATGAGCATATGGGTCTATGGAATACCATAAAATAACCCTATGGATGTAAGCATTTGCGTTAGACAGCTAGTAACCACAAATGTATGTCTGGGTGGTAATGGAAGAACAACTATGGCACCTGTTGATCCCACAACATTATGATCAACCCTAAATAATCACTCACAACGGGTGCTTGTTGATTTTTCAATCTCGCAGGTTGTTCTGGTTGTTTCCCAGTACCTTCATTACTCCTGGAAGTTGGACTCCAACAATATTCTCTTCACCCTTTCCGATTGGATCATTGTCCAGTCTTAGATTTCGACCTCGTCCGACCAATTATCGTAGAGTTTTTGGTAGTTCTAGATTAAAAGGGGTCAGGGGGTTGCCTTGACTCCGTGTACTTAACATACACTTTGAATAAAACCTATAGAAAACAAAAAATAAAAATAAAATGTAAATAAGGAAATAATTGAAATACAATGCAATAACAAAATTAGTCTAATCTAAAAGCCTTATTCCCCAGAAGCGGCGCCAAAATTTGATACACCAAATTATACCTCCCTAAGGAAGTATAAGCGGTCGTTGTTCAAACAGAGGTTAGGGTCGATCCCACGAGGAATAAGGTATACACTTAGGTCAATTAGCTTGTTGATTGTACTTTTAGTCAAATTATCTCCGTAAAAGGGTGGGGGGGTTGTAACACAAAATATTAATTGATTGATTTCAGTAACAAGTAACCAAGTAAACAAGATTCAATGTTTTGTAATATCAATATAAGATGAATTAGGGTGTACATGTTCCCCACAAGTTCTTAATGCAGTAAACCTTATAATAGTAACCCTTATCTAGTGTTTGACATGCAAAGTCGGTAAGTTAGGTATCTCTTTGAGTGTTAGTGGTCCAAGTAGGGAAATTTCATCACGCAACTTGGTCTGATGGATGTATGCTTTACTAACCCTTACCCGTGACCCCATATTATTCCTCGCATCTTGAGTTCAGGCTATTAGATAGCGAATTATCAACGCTAAATCTCAGTTGTTTAATGTCTTTTCCCATTCGTTACTTCATAGGTCGGACAAGTAGGAATAAGACAGGTTCTAACATTGACCACCATTAAAAAGCAATCAAAATGAAGAGATAAAAAATACATGCATAAACACTATTCAAGGATTACTTAATTATTAGGTCTATGTTGTTAATTACTCAGGGGTCCCACAACCCTAGTTGTGGATTTAGCTACTCATGCTTGGGTGATCATAATTCATAATATGTTTGTTAAAATAAATTGTAAGCTTACAATTATAGTAGATGAAATCCGGAATCTTGAATTGACGAACAAAAGCTATATTATAAACCAGCACTTCAAGAATTAAAATGGACAAAGTGTTCACTAATTAATTCTCAAAGCCAAAAACACAAATATCAAATTGTCTAACTCTCAAAAATGAAAATTACAACTAATATTTATGGACATCAAATCCTAAATAAAGGCAAAAAAGAAATCTAGGAAAATTCGATTTGGCAGTCAATCCTACTGTTCGTTCCTATAGCTCGTAAGAATTCCTACAGTTCATAAGAACCTTCCATTAAACAAAAACTCTACTTCTAAACTTCTTGACTTTTTTACATGTATGTTCTACGACCCATAGAGCTTTGCAAAACCCATCCTGGCTTTCCTTCATTCAAGTACTGGAGCTCAAACTCTTACATAATATCAGTTGTACAGAACCCTAGCATAAATGGAATCTTATATCAAAATAACTATACACCACTATCTAGCCCCTCCCGGAATCTCACCTTACGTCAGCTATGACACTAAGAGAAGTAGGGTCCTGAACAAGACTAGGTAGTGACCTCACAACTTGCACATACTAAATAAGGCTATCCGAAGGTCATAACCTAGCCCAAAGGATTGTATCTAACCCCAATTCACACACAAAACATGCCCCATGGGCTACCTAAGTTAACATGTAAGGTAAGCACTAGCCAAACCTAGGATAAGGCTAAACAATATCAATACTAAGACCATCCTATCCCACTCACAACACACAGGGGAAATCATAACGTCACACTAATCAAGATTAACCAAAACATTATTCGAAACAACCAAAATAAGACTAAATAAATTCAATAACAATAACAATAAGAAATCATGCTTAAAACATCTCAACAATTAGCAAATCATAGTCCTAGAATAACCAACAAACACTCTCTAAAAGTAGTACGTCGTATACTACCTCAAAGACGAATACATGCACTCCAAAACTCTAAATTAGGGATTTTCCCTTCCGAGCCACCTCAAATGATGCCACTCTATCAAAACAGTGATCCTGACATCAATACAATAATTTTGACACCCAAAATGCAACAATTAGATTTTGGGTCAAAGTTGGCATTGTGAGACCTATGAAAGGAATTACAAAGTGGATTTTGCCAATATATCCTTGCCTACTCAAGAACTTTTACCCCGAAAATAGAAACAATTTGAGATCTAATATGCCTCAAAAAAACCTATCAAGAAGTAGGATTCCAAGACCCATTTCAAGCTAAAATCGATGAATTTAACGGAAACTTATGGGTTTAGGAGCAAGAATATCAACCCGTACGATGTCCCTAAGGAACTCCTAGTTTAATGTAAATATTTCCATAAGAAATCACCGAAGAAATTTCTATCAACATTTATTTTTTCCTAATGAAAAATGAAAAAAAGAGATGGAAATACTGCCCCAACCGCTTCGGCAAGCCCGACAACATACAAGAGACGTTGCTGGAGAAAAATAAGTTTTGTTTGTATGGAAGTCAATAGGGTTGTCTGACTTAACAAGTGCGAGGTCAATAATGTGACTAAGCTCCACACGAGTAAGGTATGCTGACGTGGCCAGCATCCGTAGGAGCGGCCATCTCTCCACCGGAGACAACTTTTCTCCACATGAGCGACTGCACTAGCAGCTAGTGCACATGTCTTGGGATTTAAATCACAAGCTTCAATAGGACCTTAGAAATTAGTTCAGGGTCCCACCAATGCAAACCGAGTATGCTACCCAACCAAAAGCAACATTCTAAACTCAAAAGAATTGTTGAAACTTTCAACAGATGTCGTCTCAACGTAAAGTAGGTTCCACACCTAAACTTCATTTTTACCAAATTTCACAAGGTAGCCTTAAAAGAGATTGGAAGTCTTGGGACCCAAACCAAAGGTCCTTCTAGAATAAACTCGATGTTTCGTAGCTAATGAAACCATCAAAATTGTATTCTGAGATAGTTTATTCCTTAGGAGATACACATTCATTAGGCACAAGTGCTTCTACACGATTTTTTCTCAGTAGAATGCCTATTCATTTCTATTGTCACTAGTGTGTTTCAGTGATTTTTCTTGAAAAATCCTTTAATCTTTATTTTCCAATAAATGCCTGCACACAAGAGAAGAAGGGCGTGAAACCCCCTTTATTAGCAAATAAAACATACCAATAATAATGAATAAGAGTCTAATATGTTGGTAAAATACCAAATCATCAATACTCCTTGTTTTAATTAAATTAAATGATTTTGAGTTTATTAATGGTGTTTTATGCTTTATAGGTGAAATTGAATCAATACAAAGAAACAATTGGACAAAACTTGCAAAACTAAGTCAGAAGCTTACCTAGTGAAGGGGGGGGGGGTTAAAATTATACCCCCTTGTATGTTTGGCTCTTCCATGACAAAGGGAAATGCGAAGCAAGGAGCTTCACAGCACGAGGGCCAGTGCAAAGACCCATACCTTGCGGTGCGAAATGAGATCGACCAGGGTAAAAAGTTGCCTTTTTTATAGTCCGACTAGGTGGAGGCCCAAGGTATTTTTACAGTCTATAAATACCCCCTTGGATGTTTTTAACTAGAGTTTGACATTATTGAATTCATGATCTTTATAGAAGCGTAAATAAAATAATACTCGTTATTATTCTAGGGGTTCCTCTAAGATTTTTTTATTAGATTATTATTTTCTTTAATTTATGTGTAATTAATTAAGGTTTCATGACTTATAAGATAAATAAATAATTGGTAGTGTAAATGGACACATGAAGGCTAGGAATAGAATGTGGGTTAAGGGGAGGATGGATTAGTGGCTAGAGTACGTAATTTACCCTACTTGCGTCTAATACAAGAAGATATATACATGCATTCGTAGAGATTTACCATATATCCGATCAACAATATACGTGTGAGGTCAATTTGGATAGGTAATTATATGGTTCAAAACACAATGATCATATTATCAATCCGTATGATTCAATAATTCGGTAGATATTTTAATCATGTTTAACAACTATAAAGAAGGTGGTAGTATGCAAAACACATAGTCTTTAATCTTTGTGATCAACTCATGCAATAAATCTTTGCTTTAATATATATGTGTTTATCAAATTCAATAGTAGTTTTAGTTAGTATAATAAACACCAAACCAGCTTCTCTGAAAATGGACAACACTAGTTCTAATAAATACGATAGAAAAATTGATAGCTTGTCACTAACTAAGTCTCTAGAGGATCTCCAACTTTGTATACAATCATTGTAAGCTCAAATACTTGCCTTTGTACCTGGGCACTATAAGGATTCAAATCAGAAGATAAAAAAGATGATTCTATTAAATCGGGCTGCAAGTCTGTAATACAAACTATGCAACTAACTGGACCTATGCAGGCCCCTATCTGCACATTATCTATAACTAACTGAGGCTAACAACTACCTATTCCTAAATATGATCCAACCATCAGAAGACTAATTCAAACTATAACAACTAGTAACAATAGATAAATAAAGATAGTTAATACACCCTCTCAAATTAGGCAAGGTGCAACAATGGCTAACTTGGAACAACATCTTGTAAAGGCTGATTTAGGTAGTGTCTTGGTGAAGCTATCAGCAAGTTGATCACAAGCATGAGTATGAGTAACATGAACTCGAGGAGCTTGAACCTGGTCACAGACATATGCAAAATCTACAACAACATGTTTCATACAGGTATTGTTATATTCTAGGTGTTTTGATGATCCTCCAAAACGTAGAGAACCGGTCCCTGCAGAGTGCTCTCATCCAGATTCAAACTGGGGTACAATTGTAAAGTTGTCATGTCAGGTGGTAGGTGAAAAGTGCAGTGTACTGCACCAATAGGAAGTGCAGACGTGATTATCTATTTCAGTGGCTCACAAATGTAGGGACCCAGTCCCTAGCAGAGTTCTCTCCATCAGATGTATAATGGTGTACAACTATAAAGTTGTCATGTCAGTGGGTTGGTGAAGTCGTCAGCGTACTTCACTAATAGAAACACATGAAGTTGTTTGTCTAATGAACAATAATTCTCTTTGGTTGATATAATCAAAATGACAAACAACAAGAAGATTCATTCATTCAAAAGAGAAAGAGAGTTAGCAAGTCTTCTCAAGAACTCAAAGAGAACATTGCAAGGGACATGGTCCCTGCAAGACTGCGAATGTAAAAAGAACGACAAGACAGCTGTCAGAAAATCTACCACCTCTGATGTGGTAGGTGCATGTCGTTTTAGGGAAGCAGGCTCTCAGACAATGAGGCCGTCTCAAGGAGTTTGTGTTCATTTGATATAATCTCTCAACACAAAACACAAACTCAAGATTTGGCAAACAAAAATTCTTAAGCTTATAAAGAGAAAGTCATCTTTAAGGAAAAACGTTGCTCAACTCAACAAAGGGACCTGATAGAGTGAAGAAGATTCCTGTTATATTTTGAGCTTTGTGTCTTATGTGCTTACATTGTAAATCTAATCCTAAGTTATAAAGGATAGTAGATCATTTGCTTGTTTAAATATTTAGTTTGAGTCATATTAACAAGAGTTAGTTAGTCAAATCTTCTAAGTTTTGGTCAATCCTTTTACACCATTATTTTGGTGTTCTCTTGGGTAAAGTTTCCTAGGAGTGTCAACTAGAGTTAGTTGATGTGTGATGTAGCAGAGTTGCTGCTCGTTTAAGATTTTATCTTAGAGATTGTAGTTAGTGCTAGAGTTAGCCTTCGGGGTTCTTAAATTCTAGATCAACTAGAGTTAGTTGGTTTAGTGGGCAGTAATATTATTGCTTTGGATTTCTTAAGTAATAGGAATATTACTTAGTGTGGGATTATAGTGTTAATCTCACTGTTGTGGTTGTAATATGCGTTACACTTTTGCTTGAGAAGATTAGTGAAAACAGTTGGAAAATCATGTGTGACAGGTCGTGGTTTTACTCCCTTGAGCAAGGAAGTTTCCACGTAAAACTCATGTGCCTATTTTACATTGTGTTATTTATTTTCTGCACTTTTACTTCAACTACTGTTCTTGCTGAGTCAAGGGACCTGGTCCGTTGACTGATAGTGGATGCATACATTCCAACAATTGGTATCAGAGCTTGGTCTCTCTATCTGGTTAACACCAAGAGAGAGATTCCTACAAAGAATGGCGACACCAGCGAGCGTGAAAAGAAGTCAGTCCCCTACAAAGCCACCTCTTTTTAATAGTCAGTTCTATAGATGGTGGAAGGTTCGAATGAGAGACTATCTCATGGATGAGGACATTGAGGTATGGAACGTTATTTGTGAAGGTCCTTCTGTGCCAACTATGGAGGTTAAAGATGGAGAGGTTACAAGAGTTATTGTCAAAACTCGACAACAATATAATGACGCCGACAAAAGATTAGTCGAGAAAAACCACAAAGCTCGGAAACTACTGATGTGTGGCATTAGTATGAATGAATATGATCTGATCTCATATTGTGAATTAGCCAAAGAAATATGGGATCTGTTGAGAACAACTTATGAGGGTACTGAGGAAATAAAGAAATCAAAGCTAGATCTCGTTACTACTCAGTTTGAAAGTTTCACCATAAAAGAAGGTGAATCTATTCATGAAATGCATACTAGATTCTCCACCATTACAAATAAGCTTATGTTCCTTGAAGAACCAGTCCCTGTGTGCAAGCAAGTCTCTAAGATACTGGAAATTCTTCCTAGATCTTGGACAAATGAATTTGTGATTGGTGATGAGACAAGGGACCTGAAGTAGTGATGTTGGATGCACTATTTGAGCTTCTTTAAGTTCATGAGTTGCACAGAAAAAAGGAGGGTCTCATTCTCAAGGGCAAATACAAGAGGACATATTTGATTGATGAGGCTGATCAGAAGAAAGAAAATCATGACAAGGCTACCAGCTCAAGTAAAGTGTGTTACAGGTGTGATCAACCAGGTCACTTTATTGGAAACTATCAATGTACAAGGCTGACCATAGGGAATATGTCAAGACTGAAGAAGGAAAAGATAAAGAGGGGGACCAGGTCCGTCATAAGACAAACAAAAGAGAAGTTTTTTTCCAGGCGGTGAAGATGGATCTGACTGCATGGGAAAATTCCTCAAGTGATTCGGATGATTCTAAACACTCAGATGATGCTTTCAAGGAAAAGTCAAATGAGGAAGATGCTGATGAAAAGGTAACCCTATCATATTTCAAGCAAAACTTGAATACCTTTTCTACTAGTAAATTGAGAAAGGTAGTTGTTGTACTACTTGATTTGATAAGTGAGCTAACAACTGAGAATGATCTCGTGAACAATACCCTAGACATCTCTCAAGATGGAAAAATTGTTTTAGTTGCCCAAATATCTGATATTGAAAATCAAATGGTTGTTCTAGAAGCTGAAAATCTAGAACCGAAGGAAAACATAAAAGGTGCAACTACTACAGTTTTTAAAGGAAAGAGCGAGGCCAACAACTTGCAGCTGGAGATTGAAAATAAGCTGAACACTGTTGAAATGAAGATGAAATTGGTTCTAGAAAGAAATCTTGTGTTGGAGAGGGACCTGGTTCGTGTAAAAGAGGAACTGGACAAGCCCCTCAAATGGACCAATTTCTCTAAGATTCTTACAAATCTAATTGTTCAAGGCAACAATAGTAGAAGAGGGCTAGGATGTGAGAAGATAGATTCCCCATACAGTATTCACAGCAAAAATATTTCTGATGCTGATAATTTGTTGTGTGTGCATTGTGGTCGAGATGGACATCTTAAGAAAGATTGTCCGATTTTAAAAAAAAATGTGAAGGAAGTTCGTCAAACTATTCCAAATAGAGGAATAGACTGAAGAAGGTACTTGGTCCTGCTACAAGTCCTAAGTTGAAGAAACCAATCTTCCTCACTGGACAAAAGATTTTTTTATTACTCTGTTATCTGCTTACTGGGAACTTCGTCTCAAATGGGTTACCAAGTCTAACAAGTGAAATGGTATTCATATGAGAGGAAGTAGCAGCAATCAGTGTTGGTTCATGAATAGCGGATGCTTAAAGCACGTGATTGGAAACTGAAAACTTCTTCTCTCTCAAGGCACTTCAAGGTAGAGGTGTCTCATTTGGCAATGGCAAAAAGGGTATATTTTTGGTGTAGGAATGTTTGGGAAATCTATGGAACACACTATTCAGGATGTGTACTATGTTAATGGTTGAAGTACAATCTTTCAAGTGTTTCATATATTTGTGATGAATGAAATGAAGTTAAGCTCTTATCAAAAGAATGTGTGGTCACAAACTTGCTCTCTCGGGAGATGATCTTGACAGAAAAGAGATGCAAGAACATGTATTTTGATGATCTGATTACTGCTTGTAGTGATAGTCTCACTTGCCTTAGTGCTCAAAGTGAGAATATTGAGGTATGACATGAGAGACGTGCTCATGTGAATGCTTCTCTACTGCACAAATTTGTGTCAAGGGACTTGATCCGTGGTTTACCCAAAATAAAATTTACAGATGATAAAGTTTGTAATGCTTATGTTAGAGAGAAACATATCAAACTATCCTTCAGGTGGAGTAAGCATGCTTAATTTTTTAAAGAACTTTCGAGCTAAAATGGTGAATAGTACATGTTCTGCGACCAAATTGGTGATATTGAGAAGTTTGATCTCAATATTGATAAAATAATAGTTATGGGATATTCTTTCTCCAGCAAGGCTTATTAGATGTATAAAAAGGTGGTCATGTGATTTTTGATGAATCTGGAAGAACTGAGAAGTTGCAAAAGAAAAAAAGATTCATAGATGGAAGAGCTGCTTTAGATTCAGAGAGATGGTCTAAATAGTGAGCTTGCTAAAGAACATCCTCTTCATGAATCCAGTAATCTCAAGGAAGCTGATGCAGATGATGAACCTGATGAGGGACCCGGTCCGCTAGACAGTGCTGAACAAATATGATGCAGTTCAAACTGATAATGTGAATTCTGAAGGTGAGAATGAAGAACTTGATCAAGCTTAGTTTGAAAGAGACAAAGCATGACACTCGGTTCCCTAACAAGCTGATAGGTTGTCCAAATTCCTCTTCAACAATGGCATCAAAAGAGGTAAATTGACAAAACCCTCCTTTTGAAATCACAAGGAAAGGAATTGTTGATTATTCAAGTACACATTGATGATGTCATATTTGAAGCAACCTTTAAGGAGTTGTGTAACACCCAGAAAACTAGTAGGTGAAACTAGAGCCTTACGTGAGAGTTTTTGAGTTTAATGTGGGGTTTATAAGTGTAAAATGGTTTCCCAAACTTAGGATGAGGGGTGTATGGGTTAAACGTCAAGGTACGACCCCCCAAGGACCAACCAAGGGTCCTTGAGAAGGACCCTAAACCCTAACCCCAAGACAACCCAAAACTGCCCAAAAGTGTGAGCTACAGATGGGACCTACGGGGCGTAGGTCCATCCACGCCACGTGGGTCTAGATTCTGGGTCAAGTCCTGGAAAATGAGTTGCAGGCCATGGACCTACGGACCGTAGTTCACGGGGGTGAGTCATGCCTGCACAACTTGCCAAAGACTCGGCCAAGGGAGGGGCAAATTAGGAAATTCCTTTTGAGGTTAATTTGAAGTGAGGTCATTTTATACTGTTTATTTAGACATATATAAGACATTTTAAGCTATTAACTAACTGATTACCTCATAACTCCCAAACCCAAAATCATAACCAAATTAACACTTTCCAAAAATCTTCTCTCTAAAAATTCCATTAAAGAAGAAAAAGAAGATCAAGCTAGGTCTTGAAGAAGGGAACTTTATCACATGATTTTTGTTGGATTTCTAAACCTAAGGTATGGTAGTCTTGATTCATGGAAAGCTTTCTTCCATGGAGTCCTCAAACTTTCAATTTCAAAAAAGAAAATTCTCCAAAACTTAGGGTTTTCACTCCAAGTCATGGATTCTTCCTAAAAATGTTCTCAATAATTTAATTATCATATATTAAGATTGAATTTCTATTTTATTGTGGTTTTATGATAAAATCTCCCATGACCCCCTAAATTCCCCATAACCCTAATTTATGACTATGTGATATGGGTGAATTGTAGTAAGGTGAATATTATGAAATTATTCTTGTAGTAGTTTAGTTATTTGAATTATGTAATTATCCATGCCTAATTGTAGTAATTCTAGGTGTGTTGGTGAATTATGATTCATGGTCCTTTAAGGGAAAATTTTGAGATTTTGTATAATAATGATGCTTATGCACATGCTTTTTGAATATATTGAAAGTAATATGATCATGACTATAATACAATTGTGGTATTGTTGAAAGGCTATTCTCTATTATACACTTGTAAATGATGACTACATGTTGTGAAAGGTTTCCTCAATATATAATATACCTTGAATTGGTAGGCTTAGGGTATCCTCTTCATGTGTGTAATAATGAATCTTGAATCGGTAGGCCAATGGCATCCCTTTCATAAATGACTAATGAAGTAATCTAAGGCTTTGTCTTGAATTGGTAGACCAATGGTATCCCTTTCATGATGAGTCCATGAACTACTATAATGATGAACCTTGAATCGGTAGACAAAATGGTATCCCTTTCATGAGGATTCAATGATCTATCCTAATAATGTACCTTGAATGGGTAGACTTATGGCACCCTTTCATGTGTTAAATAATGTACCTTGAATCGGTAGGCTAATGGCACCCTTTCATGTGTGTAATAATGTACCTTGAGTTGGTAGGCCAATGGCATCCCTCTCATGTATAAAAATGTTAAAAGAGAATGAACTACTCTGTGGGAATTTAATGCTTAGCACCGAATGGATATTGTGAGGTTGAATCTCTCTCCATGTTAGGTCGGGTTTCTAGTAACAGCCTCCTTATCCCAAAACTATGTGCCCACATAGGTTATTAGCTAGTGGATCTACCTAAGCTAAATTATTAGTTCTACCTTAGGCAAGTAGACCTACCCTTACGGTGTGGGATAGACATCGGATCCCATGATTTGCTCACATGGTCTATGTCGGTTAGGGGTTATTCCCATCATGTGGGTTATGGGGTATGATTAATCAAGAGGTTCTATGAAGTTTGGGTGGTAGTATGGGATGCCATTCATGCATTGCACGAGTAGGCTTTGAGAGTGGCTATGGTTTGTTCCTCAAATGTCATAATGTCTAATGAAATGAATGTGCTTATAATGATGCTATTGAGAATGTTGACATAAAGTCTAAATGTAATGGTGAATGCTTAACTTGGATTGTTATTATGAGTTGCTTTTCTTGTAATGACTTATTAAATGTGAATGTTCTTTATCTATAAGTATTAACTAAAGATGTGAATGAAGAATGGTAACATGTTTATGATGAACTGAAAGTGGTACTTAGTATGAGTGGTATTATGGGATGCCATTCATACATTGGACAAGTATAACTTAGGGTTACCTAAGAGATGGTTCTAATGTGTTCTAATGATTTATATGATGATTATGCTTGTTACTCAAGTTTTATACTAAAAGTACATGATGATTCTCAAACTTGTTAAATGCATGGTTTTCAACAAATATGTCCTTTTTAGCATGATTTTTGCATGGCTATCATACTTAGTATATTTTTATTCTAACCCATATTTCTTCTACATTTTTCTACAAAGTGTAGGTTCTGATGTTTGTGGTGTTCTTCCTTGGATACAAGCTTGGATCAACTATTCTCCTAGCTTGTGGTAAGTCCTCAAGATTCGAGGACATATGAGTCTTTAGTAGTTTCTTTCTTGTCCTTTTATGTTTCGGACTA